GTTTATATAATCTTTTGTTGGTTAAAAAGGTATTTAAGGGTAAGTAACGTTATTTTGGTTTTATAATTTTTGTTTATAGTTTTGTTGTTTATTTTATATTGTTTTAAAATTATGTAATCATCAAATTATAATTTATAATAATAATCAAATTAATAAATAATCCAATCATTTCAAAACTACTTAAAAATTACATGAATTGTATGAAAAGGAGAGGGCTATAAAGGTGACAGTGTTACAACACGCACAAGTTGTTGTCTTCATTGAAGAATATTATTATGTCAGTGTTACAATGCAGTACATTGATGAACAATGGGAACTGCATTTACATGCTCTAATTGCAATGAAGACATAAGAGCAACATTTTTCTGATATGTGAGCTGAACATTTTATGTTGCGCAGCAGTGAAATAAATCAAAAAAAAATCAGCACTCATAGCACAGATAATGTAAGGTATATGATTGTTACTGTGAGACATGTGCCTTTTGAACATGTTTCCTTTGTTGCTAACAGTCTTTAGCATTCCGTCATAGTATCTCTGCACAGCAGCATATTTTATCAAATGTAGAAAGGTGGTGGCCGTTTTAAACACAGTCCAATGAGTGCTTCAGAATTAAATCAAAAACAAATTGAACTTTGACAAAAGACAAACAATCGGTAAATAATGGAAAACCTAAACATGGAATTATTTTCGAAAGAATAAAAAAACTTTGGAAGTATTTAAACTTGCTTTTAGGCACTGTAAAAATCATAATGAGCAAATTAAAGCAGAAAGTATCAATAATGGCAATCTTTTAAAGTTTTGGAACAGTGTGTATGAAATTAGTAATGTAAAGGCAACCAATCATGTTGCTAGTATTGGTGGAGTTACTGGTGACAAGGACATTGCCACTATGTGGAAGACACATTTTACTAGAGATATTACCAAGTGAGCCTTGGTAATATCTCTAGTAAAATCTAAAATTGGAGACTCAACAGATATATTATAGAGCAATCATAATCTCTCCCGCTTGTTTTAAAATACTTGAAGGTATTTCATTAGAAAGAATCAAATTTCATTAGAATTCTGATGATTTTCAGTTTGGTTTCAAGAAAAATCATTCCACAATGTCTTGTACTTATTATTTAAAAAAGACAGTTGAATACTTTATTTTTAGAGGAAGTCAAGTATTCACATGCTTTATAGATTTCAACAAAGCTTTTGATAGCATTAATTATTGGAAATTGTTGTCTAAATTAGTTGATCAGGGTATTGCCAAGAATGTTGTCTGTCTACTTGCATCTTGGTACAAGAATCAAACTATGTTTGTCAGATGGTAGAAAGTAAACTCTGATAGCTTTAACAAAAGCAATGGTGTATGGCAAGGTGGAATTCTTTACCGTTCTTGTTCATATTTTATATAAGAAAACTGATTTTTAATATTACAAATATGCAAACTTTTTGAATTTTTTGGCGTATGCCGACAATATTGTACTACTTGCTCTGTCTTGGTTTGCATTTCAAAAATTATTAGTTGCATTAAATGTTGAAGCTACTGCCATTAATATGTCATTTAATACAAAAAAACAGTGTGTATGGTATTTAACCCAAAACAGATATGTAAGGTTGTGTCAAACAATTTTCCACTGTTTACCTTAACTGGATGTGAATTAGTTTTCATTGACAAATTCAAGTATCACATAATAGAAAATGGTTTGTTTGATAATGTTGATATAAATAAAGAGATTAAATGTCTTTATATACAAACAAACATATTAATCAAACTATTCAAGAATTGCTTGATTAAGGTAAAAGTGCAGCTATTTAAGACTGTTTTTATGATCTGGCTCTATGGACTAATTTTAGTGCAAATACTATGTTAAAGCTAGATTCTTGTTACAAGAAATGTACTAATATGTTTTTTGGATATGGTAAGTACTCATGTGCTACAAATATGTTTATGGTACTAGGTTTGCTTAATCACAATACTTTATTGCATAACTACAGACTTAGCTTTATAAATCAGTTAGTTACCTGTGCCAGCAGCAATGCAGCTGTGCACAGTGGGCCAGAATTCACTTTTAATAATAAGTTTAGACTTGTATAATATGTTTTCCACGTTTTTTAAAATTTTGTGCAAGTAAATTTTTTTGAGCAGAATTACAGTTTTTTTGTGAGGTAAAAAAGTTCAAATGTAAAAGAAAACCAAAGTTGCGCCTAGTGGCAGCCAGATTTATGAAGTTATTAAAGCAAGAAATGTAAAAGAAAATTAAAGTTGCGCCTAGTGGCAGCCAGATTTATGAAGTTATTAAAGCAAATATGTTTAAGCTTTATAAGATCTGAGTATAAAAGCAAGATGTAGCAATAAAAAAAATATTTTGTCAATTAAAAGCAAAAATTAGACAATAAATTATAGCATAATAAGCGTATTTAATATTGTTATAAATATGTTAATTAATTACCAATTTTAGTCTAACAACTTTTAAAATCCAGATAATATATAGATTTATAATATAATATTTAAAAATAAAGTTATGATATAATGTTTTAAAAAGCGCAATATTTTTTGAAAATAATGTTTATTTTCATTGATTTTTTAAACAACATTTTTTTCTCTATATAATTTTTTTTTCTAATTTACATTTGCATCTACTTCAACCACATCATTAGAATCTTCATTAAAACTTTAAGTGTATATAAACAGTTTTAAATTGCTTTATAATATCTAAATATAAAAGGTTCAATAATCTTTAAGATATTACCTGATATACCATAAGAAGAGTAGAACAAGAAGATTGAAATCCATATTGATGATTATAAAGTTAGTCATTAGATTCAAGATGAGAGATTATGTGTTTGTTAATTAAAGACTTATGATAGTCAGAAGACTAATGGGACAGTAGTTAGACAGATCAAGTAATGGGACAGTATTTAGACAAGTCAGGTCGCTCTCCAGATTTTAGTAGGGATAACAGCTGCTGCTTTTGAGCAGGCTGAAAAATAATACTCTGATAAGCACTTGTTAAATAGTTTTAAAAGTATAGGCAACAATATATATTGCTGAACTCAAACTGTTAGAGATTGTTACCATAAAACATAGAGGTCAGCAAGTTTTTGCTGACCTTGAACACTTTTAGATCGGCAGTTAGGTTGACATTGCTGAATGCTGACCCTAATTCAGAGGGCTGTTGTTTTGTAAGTGAGCGCAAAAGATTTGAGGGAAACAGGTTGGATTTTTTGCAGGTATGTGACTGAACTTCTGGGTAGAGAAAAGTATGTTTCATGCTTTGTGGTTCTGCTTGCTTTTTGCCATCTTTCTCTGGTGATGGAGAGCTCAGATGATGATCCTGTCTACATAGTCAAATTTAAGTTTACTTTTAGTTAAGAGCATTTAGAGAGGTGATGTGTGGGCCTCAGTCATTAACATACTCAAGGAACAGCTGTTGTTGTGAAAGAACCTGTGGAAGCAACAACATCAAAACCATTAAAGAGAAAGTTTGCTCTATTGGCTACTTTATGTTCAGAATTAGAGTCTGATTTTGAACATGAGGAATACTCAATCAAGAACAATGTGCATCGTTCTAGAGCAAAGTCCGCCATCATTACAGAAGCATGTTCATTACAGTGGTGGTCCAAACATGTAGGCTTACATAGCAGGCTTTCCTCATGTATAGAAGTACTTGACCACACCTGCAACATTTATATCCTGCAAAAGGTTGTTTTCTCTTGCTGGTCATATTGTACAGAGGAAGAGAGCTTCTTTATAATCTTAAAACTAGCCGTACCTGCAGCGTCTGTAATCTGTGAAAGGTTGATTTCTCTTTCTGGTTGTATTGTACAGAAGCGAGTTTCTTTATTATCTGAAAATGTGAATGATCTTGTATGTCTTAGCAACTAATTTGGTTCAAATGAGTAAGTAAATGTAAATTTGGAAGAATAAATTAATGCAGTTGATTTATTTCACTCAACCTGCATTACTGAAAATTTTTTTTTCTCAGTCTCTGTAAGGAAATTGATGTTAATGCTTGAAAGAGACCAGTTATTATACTGACATAGATGATAATAATTTTTTTTTACAAACTTATAAAACTTTAAGATTTTGTTTAATAGTGTTAATCCTTTAGTTTTTTATTTATATGTTAAAGCTATTATTTAAAATTAAGTTTTTAATATTAAGTTATATCTAATTTAATTACATTGTTGCTTAAGTTAAGATTTACAAGATATGTTAATTGCTACTAACTTTTCAATGCTGTAAAAAAGCACTTTATTTGTTTAAAGTTTTTACAAATCTAATATTATTTCACTTATTGATACAGCAGAATTTTGAAAGAATAGATTTACACAATACACTACTTTTAGTTTCATTATTGAATTTAGCGCATGCTGCAGTTAATTGCAATTATAGTATATATATATATATATATATATATATACAAATATATATATATATATAAACATATATATATATATATGTACAAAATATATATATATATATATGTATATATAGATTTATATATATATATATATATATATATATATATATATATATATATATATATATATATATATATATATATATATATATATATATATATATAAATGTATATATACATATATATATATATTTTTTGTACATATATATATATATATATATATATATATATATATATATATATATATATATATATATATATATATATATATATATATATATATATATATAAATGTATATATACATATATATATATATTTTTTGTACATATATATATGTATATATATATATATATATGTATATATATATATATATATATATATATAAATGTATCTATTCATACATATATTTTTTTTTGTACATATATATATGTATATATATATATATATATATATTTGTATATATATAAATATATATATATATATATGTATATATATATATATATAAATATAAATATATATATATATATATATATATATATATATATATATATATATATATATATATATATATATATATATATATGTATATATATATATATATATATATATATATATATATATATATATATATATATATATATATATATATATATATATATAAATATATATATATATATATATATATATATATATATATATATAAATGTATATATACATATATATATATATATTTTTTTTTTTTGTACATATATATATGTTTATATATAAATATATTTGTATATATATATATATAAATATATATATATATATACATATATATATATATATATATATATATATATATATATATATATATATATATATATAGTATATGTATATATATATATATATATATATATATATATATATATATATATATATATATATATATATATATATATATATATATATATATATATATATATATATTTCTAGAAATCGTAGTCAGAAATGGAAATCAATGATATTCGTGGTGTAAAAAAAAACCAGTTACCTCCATTGAAAAATACAGTTGACTTTTATAAAAAATCTAAAACTTTAACAAAAGATTTAGCACACAGCCCTGAATCCAATTTTTTGCATGAAAACATTTTACCAATGACAGATAAAAATTTTGTTGAAAAAAGTAGTGTCATTAAAGATTTTTACAAAGAGTTGAAACCAATGAACAACAAAGTAGATAATCAAAATAAAAATGTGATGAAAAATTCAAAAGATTTATTTAATATTGGGATTACAAATTCTGCTTATAAAAAATGTGAGTCCTCTAATGATAACGATGAAACACCAATAGACTCTGAACTTGTATCACCAAATCGAGAATCAGCTGAATTTGAATTTCTGTTTTTAAATTCAAAGGAAGATAAAAACACTTTAAATAAAAAAAATAGCGACACAATATACAGTAAAGTTAAGGCTCACAAAAAAAAGAATAAGCATAGAAAAATATGCGACTTTATACTTGTGCATAATGTGTTGGATGATAATATAGAAAATAACTTGCAGCGAAAATTATTTGTAAATCAAATGAAAACTGATGGTTTAGAAATTACAGAAAAGGTTATAGGTGAATTGGTTTTCACTGAAATACATGCATCATTCGATAGATTGTGTAAAGAGGCAGAGTTAGTTTCTTTACATATGCCTTTAGAAGGGGTAAGCTTGAAAATTTATTTGTTTATTTATTTTCAACTAATTAAAAATTTTTTTTTTCAATATATTTTTTTTTTTTTGTGTCATTCCCCTCCCTATAGTTGAAGGGGCCTCTACAGTTGAGGAGGCTACTTTTTTATTACTATTGTGGTTACAACCCTCTTATTTTTCATCTTTTCTCATCTTTTTGGCTCCAGAATACAAACCTTGACAAACAGGGCCATTGCTCAGATTAACAAATTGAGTGTGGTACTATCCGGAATATGGTGGGGATTAGACTTCAAACTTCTTACTTATAAAGTAAACATTCTACTACTAAACCACTATTGCATGATTTAGTAGTAATAATCATTTAAGACATTCCATGAAAATTTTTTGTGAAGTTTCATATAGGTTATCTTATAGTTTTCTAAAACTTTTTATATGTATATTGTCAACCTAAAGCAAAATTAAAACATCTGTAAAAATACTGTTCCTAGATAATAGGACTTTTATTATTATGAGCTCTTGCAAAATTAAATAAATTTATATTCCAAATAAAAGATATGCTATTAGATAGGTAAAGTTTAATCCAAGTTGTTAATAATAGTTAAATAATTTATTGTTATTTTTTTACCTATGTTGTTCTCATTTTCTTGTTACAATAATGATGTAAAAGTACATCATTAATGGTTTGTACTTGCATTATTAATTAAAAGAATATATGTTTATTTGAAAATCATTTTATTTTTTATTTTAATCAATGATCTTTTTGAATATTTAACGCTATATAAATCAACATTATTTGCAGAGGAAACAACTCTTATGTCAAGTAATAAAAATATTAAATAATAAGGAAGACTTAATCTCAGCTTAATAAAAAAATACAAAGTTTACTGAAAGGTGTTTTGTTAATAAACTAGATAATACTAAAGCAATAATATTCACAAGCAAGCATACAAATAAAACTGCAGACAGACAATTTTAAAATTGAAATAGTTAACAAACTTACAATGCTAGGCATCATTATTAACAGCAAACTATATTTTAGTGAATACATAATAAAATTATAAGCAGAATTAAATAAAAAAATATTCTCAATAACTAATAATTTAAGTTATTTATAATACTAATTCAATCTCAACAAGGCTGCAAGCAACCACTATTAAGTTGGGAGTTTTTAGGAGAAAAGAATAGAGTCATTGTACAAGAAAATGGTTAATAGAAGACTTAAAAAGTTGTAAGTTGTATTAGTAAGGAAAACATGAAGATATGAGTGAGTTCCAAAGGGTTTAAATGCGGGGAAAAAAACTAGACAAATAAACATTTTTAGAGCATGCAGAGACAGATACAGTAAACAAATGAGATTTTTGCTGAATGCCAAGTCAAAAAAGAAAGAATTTTATTTGTTGGAACTAGATATAATTGCTCCTTTGAGTAGCAACTAAGATACGATTTTATGACAATGTGAAATAGGCTCAAGCTTAGCAGGTAGAGCGGGTTCAGCTACATTTACAATGCATTTTTTATCATTGTCTAAAAGAGAAAATCATCATTAGAAGAACAAGCTTAAATATGACAACAGTATTCCATATAGGAACAAATAAGAGATTTGTAGAGATAGAGAATCAAATTAGGACTAAGAAAATGGTGAGCATGATAAAGAGAAGCAACCTTAGCAGATGCTAATTTAGAAATCAATTGTATATATGGTTTCCATAAGAGATTGGTAGTGAATGGTAATCCAAAAAGATGCAAAGAAGAGTACTCAGTAAGAGGGTTGCCATTCATTAGTATTGGAGGGCTTCACTGAAGTTTTTAAAAATTGGAACAACAGATGCCAATTTCCAGCAGGCAGGAAAACAAGACTCAGTCAAGCACTTAGTAAATAGTTTAAAGATAATTAAACAGAGCTCTGGAGAACAACTTTGTAAGACTATGACAGGCATGTTGTGTGGACCACAAGTTGTAGTAGACTTTAATTAAGATATGACTTTAGCAATGTCAGTGACATTAGAGCCAAGCCATTCAGTGTGATGAGCATTAATAATAACAATAATATTGGCAGAGGGGTAAAGGGAGAGGGCATGGTCAATTTGATCAGAAATTACATCAAAAAAAGTGCAATCTTGAGAAGATGAAGAACAATAAAGAACAAAGAGAAACTAAGCAGAAGCACATTAAAAAATGGTCAAAGAATTTGAACCTGATTTTATGACAAATAGTTGAATTAATGCATATGCACATATCCAAGCCAAGCATGTGACAATTGGAGTCTTTGCCAATCAAAGGATAGTACCCATCAACACTGAAATCTGAAGAAGGAATATCAGAATAAGTCTCACTAAGAGCAATTAAGTCTGGTGAATTTTGCAAGTGGTAAGATTCAGCTGACGGAAGGTTGCTTTGCAGACCATGAATATTTGTAGAAGATATATTAAAACAGTTAGGTGGTGGGGATGGTTATTTTTATTTAATATTTTGGGTTACTTTTGGCCTAGCCTTCTATGTTCTAGCTTTTTCTATGTTCTAGTTTCTTCTATGTTCTAGCTACTATCTTTTAAGGTCTAGCCTTTTATGTTTGTTTACAATTACATTCACATTATCTAACTTTGATTACAGCTCAAGCCTAATAATATACAACACGAGAAAAGAAATACAAAACCTAATCAATGCATTCTATATGATTTTATTTTAACTACTCAAAATTAATAATCAACACAAAGATAAACTTCAAATCAGTCAACAACTATCAATCAATAAATTTATTTAATCAATTTGGTTATATTTTTTTTAACATTGATAGCATCAAGTATAATACTAAAATTAAAAACTTTTTAAACTTTAAAGTATCTAGTAAAAATGATGAACAAACATTTAAGACTTTTTTTCAGCAATATAATCAAAAAGCAATGCAATGAAAACATCAAATTAGCACCAAAAAAGTTATAATATTTTTTTTTATAACCATCATCATCTCAACTGTAATTTTAACATACAATCATTAACAACATAACTTTTGATGTCAAAATTAACAGATTAAACAACTATATTGACTTTTACTCCAGTGAAAAGAATAAGGGAAAAATAAAAAACTCATATATACTGAATATTTTTTATTCTCTCATTTATTTAGTATTTAAAATTCTCTTTATTGATCAGCAATGGTAAAAAACTTCTAGTCTATAAATTAAATTAAAAAAAAGATATATTTGATATAACACCACTTTGACAAAAAAAAAAAAAAAAAAAAAAAAAAATAAATTGTGCTTTTTATTAAGTGTTATCAAAGATGGTGTTGCAACATGGAGATTACCTTCTTCAACAAACTTTTCTTTTAAAAATTAAATATCATTTGCACATTTGGCGATTTATCTATAGTCTGTTGAGCTGCTCCTGCATGACAATAAATCAATTGCCAACCCTCAGAATTAGGAAAATTGAGGTCGGCTATGCTAATGGTATTATTACTTTTATCTAAGGTTCCATAATAAAGTTTCTTAGAAACATGTTTTTTGCTATCTATATTAAAATAATACCCAGTATTGGGTTGCCTCTGTTCCATTACTATATGAGTAAAAGAGGTATTTATAATTTCAATACATCTTTAGATGTAGTTGAATACATGTCTTATTAACCAAGTCATAAAAATAAAATAAAAATGCTAACTCATAAGTTTCTAAAATAGGCTAAAATCATTTTGTAACTGCAATCAATAATACTATACAATGCAGGTTTTATTAGTTTTCCTTAGCATATCTTTCATGACCGCATATTCTTGATCAGTATTCATTTTGAGTTTCTTTATGTTTTTTTTTCAGTTTTTTATCATTCTCAAATGTTTCCTAAGTTTGAATTTGAATTAAATTTGAGTGTTTGCATGTTATGGGTATCTATGTTGGTATCACTAAAACAGCTTAGATTGTTATTTTGGCTTTCAGGATCATAGTCAAGGTAAAAAATAAACATCTTTTTAAAAACAAGAATTATCATATCACAAGCACTCATACATAAAATTATGAATAACAACTCTATTATGCATTATATTAGTTATATTATATGTATTTGCAGTCTGAATAACTGAGTTATTATTAACAACTTGAATGTGAAGAGAGAGTATGTATTAAGTCAATTATTAATTACTGGAATTTAAAAAGAGAGTATCTATATCACAGGGTATAACCCAGTACAATTTATAGTTCTTAGAAATATTTAAGTAATGTTATTTTACAATTTTCATAATGAAGTTATATACATTACAGTTAAATGCATTAACAAGTTTAAAAAAAAAAAAATTAAAGAAATACATATTTTAGAAATAGATAAAAATATTTTCAAGTAAAAAAATAGTTTATTTAAACTTATACTAGGTATAACTATTTTATTGCAAAGATATGGACCACGATAAGAATTTTGTTCATAATTGTTTCAGCAAAAAGGGGTTTTAGGTACCCTAAAATGGGGTGTATAGCAACAGTAGGGGTGTATAGCAACAGTAGGGGTGAATTGCAACAAAACTTCATAAATATTTTGAAAATTTGCTACTTATGATCCCTTTTAAATGCAAAGGGAATTTTCATTCTGAAATATGGGTAATTACCTATTTTGTTAGAGAAATTATATTTAATTATGTTGGCATCCCTGTTTGAGTTTGTTGTTGTTGATTGATTTGCCACTGAAAATCTTTGAGAAAATTTGTTCGTCAGAAGCTTTGACTGTAAGTATGACTTATCATATTGTTTTAAAGGTGACTTTATGTATCTTACAAACAAAACTTAAATGACTTTAAGCTAAATAATAATAACTTATTTATACAAAATAAATTTTTTAGGTTAGGCATGGTTTTAACAAAACCTGGGGTGAATAGCAACACACTTTTTTCTGTTGCTATTCACCTCTTAGTTCTCATAAACAACAGATGATTGTTTTTTTTTTTGTTATTTTTAACATAAATACTGACTGTAAGTATTTAACTTGATCACAGATTATATAAATATATTTATTTGATTACTATAAGAGCTGTT